TGGATTTGAGTAAGCAAAAATTTTCAGGGGAACTGCCTCTTGGGATTTTTGGGTTGCCAAGTTTGCAAGTTGTTGCTGTAGAAGAGAACTTGTTATCAGGAGATGTTCCTGAAGGTTTTAGTAGCTTAACAAGCTTACAGTATCTGAACCTCTCGTCTAATGCATTCTCTGGTGAGATTCCCGATACATATGGGTTCCTCACATCCTTGACTGTATTATCTCTTGCTGAAAATCATGTTAGCGGTTCAATTCCTGCTGAGTTGAGCAATTGTTCAAATCTTGAAGTCTTAGAGCTGCGTGGGAATCGCTTAACGGGTCGAATTCTAAATGATTTCTCGCAGTTATCTCACTTGGAGAAGCTTGATTTGGGTCAGAATAGTCTAAATGGTGCAATTCCACCGAGCATTTCTAACTGTTTCTCATTGAGGATGCTACTATTAGATTCTAATCACGTTTCTGGAAGAATACCACAGTCACTGTCAAATTTATCCAATTTAACAGCGTTGGATCTCTCTTCCAATGATTTAAGTGGAGGCATACCCGAAAGTCTTTCTTCCATTTCTGGTTTGAAGCATTTGAATCTTTCCCATAACAATCTTCAGGGTGAAATCCCTGCATCTCTGGCTTCACGTTTTAATGATTCTTCTATTTTTGCAATGAATGACAATTTATGTGGAATGCCACTGAATGAGTGTAGGAAACCAAAAAGGCGGAGAGTGAAAAGGATCATTCTGTTGATATTTGTGGCTGCCGCAGCAGGTTTGATTTTGTTTTGCTGCTGTGGCGCGTACCTATACGGTCTTATATGGTGGCGTAAGAAGCTGAGAGCTAAAGCAGCTGGAGAGAAGAAAAGAAGTCCGAGTCCGAGAGACGTAGGGGGTCGCGGAAGTGGAGAGAATGGAGGGCCGAAGTTAGTATTGTTCAACAACAAGATCACATATGCAGAGACTTTGGAAGCAACAAGGCAGTTTGATGAGGAGAATGTGTTGAGCAGAGGAAAATATGGCCTGCTATACAAGGCTACTTATGCAGATGGAATGGTGCTTGCCATCCGTCGCCTTCCTGATACATCCATTGATGTAAACGCATTCCGCAAAGAAGCTGAGTCGCTTGGTAAGGTGAAACATCGCAATCTAACAGTTCTTCGAGGGTACTATGCAGGACCTCCTTCGGACATTCGCCTCCTCGTGTACGATTACATGCCCAATGGCAACCTGGCCACCCTCCTCCAGGAGGCTTTGCACCAAGATGGTCATGTCCTCAATTGGCCAATGCGCCACCTGATTGCACTCGGCATTGCTCGCGGGCTGGCGTTCTTGCACTCAGCCTCGGTGGTGCATGGAGATATAAAGCCACAAAATATCTTGTTTGACGCTGACTTTGAGGCCCATCTCTCTGATTTTGGCTTAGATAAACTAACGATAGCAACACCAGCCGAAGCATCGACGTCTTCAACCCCCGTTGGAACTCTTGGCTACGTGGCGCCAGAAGTCACATTGACTGGTCTGCCGACAAAGGAAGCTGATGTATATAGTTACGGAATAGGCTTACTAGAGATACTAACAGGAAAAAAGCCAGTGATGTTCAATCACGATGAGGACATCGTCAAGTGGGTCAAGCGGCAACTACAAACTGGTCAAATTTCAGAATTGCTTGAACCGGGATTGCTTGAGCTGGATCCAGAATCTGCAGAGTGGGAAGAGTTCTTGTTGGGAGTAAAAGTGGGTTTGCTATGCACAATGCCAGACCCTCTTGAAAGACCATCTATGACTGACGTTGTTTTCATGCTAGAAGGCTGCCGGGTTGGCCCTGACATGCCTTCCTCGGCTGATCCCACGACCATTCCTTCCCCCATCTGAGTTTGTAGGGAGAAAAAAATAAAAATAATTAATTGACATTCATCACTTAACGGATTGCCATTGCCAAGCAGAAATCATTCTGTGTGCAATTTTCCCCCCCAAATCATTCTTTGATATTTGTTTTTTTATTTCTAGTATTCTCTCACTAATTTCTTCCTCCGGATTTTAATGCTTTGAGGCCCTTGACCTTGATAGTGCGGTAGCTACTACTAGGTAGTGGAGTGGAATAATTTTCGGGAACTCGGAGGGGACCCCATATCAGATTCCCGCCAAAAGTGTGAGTTGTTCAATGGGGAATGCCACGTGGTCTATTATATACCCACTACTACAGTCACTAGTTTCCAAAGGGTCAGGGAAAGTAGCCGTTAGGCATATGAGCCAGAAGAGAGCCTGAAACGGACTTTAATTATTGGAAAGGGCAAGTCAGTGACGCAGGATCCGTGAATGTCCTCTTAGATACTAGTACATCCGAGTATAAATTTGTTTGTCTGCTTCTGTTCTACTATGTAAGATAAACTACTGCTACTACTACTGCTACTGTAAGAGGATAGTGGTAGTCAGTCATTCACATGAAGTTCGGGTCGGCCCTTATAGATATTCGCTTCACGCAGTTTGTAGCTGTTATAGAAGTGGGTTGACACTTGACAGGGCATGTATGACTATGGACCCCGCCCTTGCCATGCCATATTGCCATTTGCCTTGTGATTTTATTGCTTCACGAAATCTTTTAAGGTGGTCCGTCTTGGAGAAACCCCCAGTCCCTTTGGGTCTCCATTACTCCTATTTAGGATTAATCTTTGGATAATTTCTCCCAAAGATGACAATTTCATTGATCTTTCCTCACAGAATTTGGGGCCCAGTTACTTACGTCACATGGTGCAAAATTTTATTATACCCTATACATTATGTGTCATTAGAAGACTAAAATCTGATAAATGAGTCGTTAGGGCACATCCATTAATATGGTGCTACGTGAAACTATGATTAAACAATAATGATTTTGCAATTCTCGCTCTCTGCCTGAATTGCTTTAAGGTTGACGATGCTTTGGATAGTCTTAGATTGCATTACTATTTGCTTAGAGTAGAGCTACTGATATGGTTATAAAATCTGAACTTGTGATATTTCTCTTGGAATGCAGAATCCGGTTTGCACCTTCTTACTAGTTAGGTTTCATAGATGATTATTCCAGTTCTTAACTTGCATGTGTCATTTAATGGATCTATGATGTTGCAACTTGAACATATGACAAATAACTTAATTAGTTTATGCATTTCTCGTGAACCCATTTAAATCACTTTTTTCACCCTAATTTCTGCAAGAAATCACTCTTTTTCGCCTTAAATGCTGATGCTTAAAATGAAAATGTCTTCCTTCTTCATGCTGATTCATGTCTTTGTATACTATTGCAAAGGTATTCAATTTTAACCATTGCAAAAGAAAGCAACAGCCGTTGCTACAGTTTTGAGCAAAAATGGTTTGATGCTCCTTCTGACTCTTTTTTCCTTATTTTACTAATATCCCTTCACTTTTTCTAATTTATTTCTAGCTTTTATTAGTTTCCATTATTTCACTAAATACAACTTGTACCCCTACAAGAGGCGCATTTGTGGGAACAAAACTCCTTCTCGCTCTTGAAAACACTTTTTTATGTTCACTTTTCCTAACATGGGCTGATTTTGTTATCAAATGCTAAATCTCAAGGGAGATTAGTGTAATTCTGAAAACCTCAGGGGAGGTCAGTGATATTGCCAAAAATCTTATGGGAGGTTTCTAAAATTATCCCTTAATCTTTTCTACAATAGGGAGAATTTTTTTGTGCTAGTAAATCTACATGCATGTCACATGTCAAAAGAAAAAAAAAGGAGTTTCAAATTTAAAATAGAGAGAGAGAGAGAGAGAGAGAGAGAGGCTACTGTAAATATTATTCTCTATTTCATTCGCAGTCAAATTAATGAATGTACAGTTTTAGGAGTGAAGACAAAGTGACTTTTACTGTCAGTAGATTTGAATTCCAGATTCTAAGCTAATGAATGTACAGATTTTACTCTTCCAACCACCGGTTTAGAATGGATACTAATTAACCAAGCTCAGCGCCTTACGCTCCCTCACTTCTAGTTTATGATAGAATAAGTTATATAATTATTATCATTTTCAAAAAAAAAAGAAGAAGAATGGATACTAATTGATGTTGGCACTACAGTAACATAGACAAAAATACAATGCCCATAGATCTTATTTCATTGCCCATATTTGCTTTTTACCCAATCTCAATACAATGTCAAATTAATGGGCGATAGAGTGAGATTAATGGAGGGTATATATACATATATTGTCTATCTTGTGTCAAAGGAAAAGTGTTACCATTGACAATTTGAGAGGTGGAATTTTCACCACCCTAGTCAAAAAAATATACTGAAATAAGTAGGGTTATCAATAGAGTAAATTGGACTTTGACAAATTCAAATTTGACACACAAAAATAAACAAAACTTTTGAGTTTTTAAGCTTTTGCATTCGAGTCCAGATTAGAAGGCCCAAATTTGATTCACATTTTCATACGAGTTTTGGAATCAAATTGGGTTCAATCCAAACTCATAATTAAACACATAATTTTGTATAATATATGTTTAACATTTATGAATTATTATAAATTTATAATTTTTATTGTAAATTATTATAAGTTTATAACTGGTCCAACCTCAACTCACATTTAATTTGAATCTACATTCATATTCAAAATCCGAGCTAGCCCGACCCTATTGATGGTCGAATTTGAGTTAACCCGACCCTATTGATAATAATCCTAGAAAGGGGAGAAGAAAAAGATTTCTGTGAGTGGCACCGTGACTGGCTCCGAATACAATCACCATCGCCGCAAGTTCGACTTTGACAATATATAAGCTTGAAAGCTTATAGGTCTATAACTGTTGACCAAGTGGTGACTTGAAGCATGGAGCGGAACCATCGGTCCTCTTCCAATCGGAGTCTTGAGCTTCTGAGAGGGAGTCACTTCTCAGTTACTTCAGTGGGTTGACATTGAGTTTGTCCCAGCGGGACGGTCATTGAGAGATTGCCCAAACCATGATATGGAAATAGAAGTTTGAAAGGCAAATTAAGCTAATGACACCAACAAGCCCAATGAACGAATTTAAAATCATACATTTTTTTTCTTTCGTCCTATGTCAGAATTTTACAAAGATCTCGGCGCATTTAAAATAATGCATAGAGCCAAGACCAAATAAATACATTTAAAGCTTGAATTAATGATACAATAAGGGCAGCCTGCGCTCAAAAGAATGATGCTCTTTAGTACACTAAGAATTACATTTAGTAATACAACATTGAATTCTTCATCTAAGCAGTTGTCAGGCCCTCAGGGAGGGACTCACTGTCAGGATCAGGGGACAAAAACCTCCTGCAAGCATGCAGAACCGCTGAATGGAAACCATCGGAGCGTCTATAAATACAAAATGGCCAGCCTGTAGTCACAAAAAGACCACCTTTACCATCATTTTTAATCAGAATATAAATTATTAAATTATGTGTCTAATCAAGCGATAAAAGTTAAAGAAAGCAAAAAAATGAAAGTAACTACTTTGCTTGTTCCCCATATCGCACAAAAGGAGAGATACAGACCTGAGGGACCCTTATGATTTCGCATGGAACCCTCATATGCTGGCGAGCTTCTTGCGCCCTTGATAATTCATCCAATCCTGGAAACCATAAATAAAGGAAGTTGGCACCTTCCATTCTGATGCCCTGCACTCAAAAAGATGACAGGATTGTTTACACCTTAACATAGAAACAATACGAAAAATAGACAGTTCTATTCAAGCCAAGCTATTTAGACAAGATTTGAAGAGCAAAATGTTATTGATGAACAGTTTCTCTAGCAAATTGTCATTCTATCTTAGTCGCCCAAATTAATATACTGGATCTAAACTTTGAGAAGAATACAGCTACAAGCATTCTACAGTCTGCCTCTTAATCCAGCACTTCAAGAGAATAAAATATTAGGCTCTTTTGCAAGTACTATTGCAACCCGTCCTATGCAGACTTTAAATGAATAAAATTACGAGGGAAAGGGAAAAGTAAAAATGGAACCAAGGAAATAAAAAGCTAATCGCAGTTCTGTTTGAAGATATTGTAATATTGGTTGCAAGTATCTCTCAGAGATATCCAAGACTTGCAAGTTGGAACTTGGCAGACCAGTTATCACCCACTACATTTCCAAGGAAATCAGATATATGCCTTGTCTTCCACAGAAGCAAATGCTGTTTTAGCTAAGGATCAATGATCCCCATGCCACAAAAAGGCAACAATGCAGTCATATGGTTATTCTGGTCTTTAATTTCCAGTCAAATATGCAACTTTTAATTACCGAACCAATATATTAACTTGTGGAAAGCATTCATAACTGCTGCCCACAAGAAAATTCACATGATTAACTCTTTAAGATGCAATAAGAAAATTGCAGTGGAATTCTGTTACAAATATTGGGAAAAAGTAAAGAATGAGAGAGGAGGAGAAAGTATTATAACCCTCTCACCTTTGGACAAGAGGCATCCTAGCAAATGCTCCGAACGAAAATATGTACTTTAAACACAGTTCTCCGCTAGCTTTGGCTGCTAAAGTGTGGTATACATAATCTTCAATCCAGAAATAGTCATTATGAGGAACTTTTCATACTGTGCCACAATGAAAAACATTTGATATTATCCTACCTGTGAGTAATCTGGATTCCTCCTCAGTCAGAACAGATCCCTGTGCGCGAGAACCAAACCGAGCACTTGTATATTTGCGGACCATATCTGGTCCCCAGGGGCCTAAACCTCTACATACAGAATTCCCAACAACAAAAGTGAATTCCAGACTTTTGGTATTTAATCCATGGTAACTATATTTATCAGTTGATGTAGAACATGAGTACGCCACACTTCAAGCTCAAGTAAAAAAAAGTTCCATCGACTGAGAAAGAAGCAACCACCACAGTTAACCTGCCACTCATGCATAAAGAACCTGTATGATCATTTATTAGATGGAAACTACTTTATAAATTGGTTTGCTGCTACAGAACAGCATGCCCTCTGAATTGCTTTCCCAATAAAACAGGCAGCTTATATTACTAAGAAGAGATACTTGTAACATACTTGTATTACTAAGAAGAGATACTTGTAGCATAATCTTTATCCAGTCATGCATGAGAAGACGTCGGAGATGCAATTTCCGCAAGGACATATTGGGTATCACTTAACTGCTAATGCTAAATATAAAACTTAATCTTTCAGGCACTCAAAGAAAGGACCAAGGACTGCAAAAAAAGATAGTAGTTTTACAAAGAGAAGAAAGATTATCTGTACATCTGCTAGAGTCATCATAAACTGCCAGTGTATGGTAGGAATCTAGAAGATAAACCACAATGGGAGGAATATCAAAGTCAATGAGTGACAAGCTCTAAGATGACGCAGTTTTGTCAGGGCATAAAAAATTGATGTTAGCATATGAAGAACCTAAAAATGGCTGCCCTCTTTAAGCTAAACAGAAAAAATGAAGATAAAGAGCAGTATCAAACAAATTAAATTAAATTCTAGATGCAGAGCAAGAGACCTGTCATCACCTTACAATTTTCTGTGGAGTGAAGTTAGACTCCCACAGATGATTCAAAACGGCTCCTTTCCACGTTGCTCTAAAACGAGTAAGCCATTCACTCTTGTAATCATTTTCTGAAGCAAATCCAGCAGGTCCAACTAAAATCAAGTGCTGAATGTGCTCAGGATGCTTCAAGAGAATGAAGTGAATATCAGGAATTGATAGCAGTCATCTTATACGCCGGTACGAGCAGAGACATAGCATGAGAAGTAATTACCTTGAGAGCATATTTTGCAGCAACATACCCGCCAAATGAATGACCAAGTAAAATAAAATTGCTAAGATTCTTGGCTTTGCGCCATTCCTCTAAGGAATCAATAAACCATGCCTCAGTTTCTGCATTACAAATTCCAGCAAAATTATGCATGATTATCATGATTGACAAGAAATGTCAGTGAAGAAATTTTGGGATTTAGATAAAAGATTGGGCTAATAAATCCACAACAGACCTTCTGTACTTTTGCACGTGAAGTCAGGCCTGCTTGATCCACCCCAACTGCAAAAAAGGAAGACGACATTCATAAAAATAGAGTACCTAATCATAATTTCTACATGTTCTTAACTATGAAACCATCAACTTTCAGGTTTTGTATATATTTTGAAAAAAAAGCTGGTAAAATGTTGGTAATTCAATCCATTTTTTAGAAGACGTCTACTAAATCTAAAACTCCTCTAACTTTATCAAAATTCTCAATAATGCCCGTCATCATGTTTAGTCTCAGTGCAATTAATATAAACATTTTAATGTATCCAGTTTTAATTAGTAAAGGTAAGTGTGCATTATTTCTATGTAAAAATATACATAATTTCATACTTAATAGCGAATTTCACTTTGGATCTTGTTCACTACAAAGCATACCATAAAAAGTTCCCGATGCTATTGAAAAATTTTGTTCTCTTCATATCTTTCAATGTACAATCAAAGTATGTCATTTTCCCACATCTCCAACATTGCAAGTGCTTCTAAAAGTATGTAAAGATAACTTGTGTTTCAAGCAGGATTGGATGCCGAAATTTACAGGCCCTAAACTCACCCAAGCTGATCAATAGCAATGACTTTGAAATGAGCTGCAAGAGTATCAAAGTTCCGAAAGAAGAAACCTTGGGAAGCACCGTATCCATGTACCATAACAAGAGTGGGAGAACCCTCTTTGCTGTCGAAAGTTAGTGTATTGATAAATTTTGGGTCATTGCTAACAGAGCGAAACCACCTGACATTAGAACCTGGTGGCCAGATCCTATGTTAACGTGTTCTTGAATATATGGAGTCCTGCCATTCAACCCAAACACAAATTAATGACATTGCATCAGTAACCAAAACTGCCAAACAGTGCACTAATTGAGATGGCCGAAACCAGAGATGCCAAACAATTACCTAGCTTTAGTCGCTAGTTTTCTCCAAGTTAACGCTAAACGGATCCAAATTGAAAATTAAACGATCAGAATCTAATCCTTGATGAACTTTCAAGCTAGAAATGATCAAACAAAAAGACATTTTTCTTTCCTACTCTTAACATGTAAAATTCGATCAATTGCAAAGCAATCATAAATTCATAAAATATGTCGGGAGGCTTATATTCATATCGAATCAATAATCCGCCGCATCAATTACACTTGGCATTGAACAGCAAATTAGAAATTCAACGGCAAAATCGGAATACTAAATTGAGAAGGAGATTACATTGAAACTGTCCCAAAAATCCGGAAGTGGGGAAGAAATGGAAGAGAGATAGATTACTTTACAACAGACAGGAGGCGTTTCTCAGCTCTGATGATGTGGTCGGTGGAGGTAGGTATCCAACGAAGAATGGAAGGCCATAGCGATCTCTTCTTGCTAATGACTCGGCCGTGTGGCGGCGGTAGAGGTTGCAGTTTGAGAGGTGGTTGCTGCTGCGGCAGCAGGAGAAGCAATTCCCTCCGCCATGCTCGCCAGCGATATCTTCTTTGACCACCTGCTGTTTGGCCTCCTAAGTTTCATGCGATTTTCAAAAGAGCGAGTCCAAGTCCAAATTTCATTTCACTGCTGTTGTTCTCCGAGCATTGTGACTCGTATAATATATATATATATATATATATATATAGCGCGATGGTGCGAAGGATCTAGGTGACTTCCCCCGACGGAACGGACCCTTTTTCCTTTGCTTACTTTCGTCTCTGGTTTTTCCTGCAAGTAATGCTAGCAATTAATAATAAAACACGCAGTCAAAATAAAATAACGACCTGAATGAATCTTCTGAATAGAGGAGAAGAGGCGTTCACATTGTTGGTCCACGTCAGGGATGACGTTGCTGCTTCCCTCCCTCCGATTTTTAATCAAGAATGCATTTACTTTTCTAGTTATTTTCTTATAAAAGAAAATGAAAATTAACGTTTCATTTCGAAAAAAAAAAAAAGAAGAGGAAGCTGATTCCAGCATTTCTGCTGTTTCTTATGTGGAGTATTACTTAACTAAGGATCATCAAAAAGATTTAATTACCTTTATGCCTTTCTCCCAAGAAGAAAATTTATTACTTTTCTCTTTGTTTTTTTTGTTATAGTTTTAGTGCTAAGGACATTTTTTAATCAGGTCAATATAGGGGAAAAAATCCTTAATTTTACTCTAAATACACATGAGCAAACTTAACTTTTGTTTGTTTACATTTATTCAATAAGTTCAGACCGGTTAAGAATGTTAATATACATTCTTATTGGATACAGTTCAGTCCCAGATTAAATTCTCATAGGAATGAGAATAGAGTATTAAAAATAAATATACCAATCAAGTTCAAATAAATAGATGCTCGAATTGGTTGCCGGAGCAAAGGCCAACTCGTAAGAGGAGACAAAGGAGATCATTGGTTGCCGGAGCAAAGGCCAACTCGTAAGAGGAGACAAAGGAGATCATTGGAGCGGATACGGTTGGAAGAGGGGCAGGAACGGTTGCAGGAAACAACCGTTTTTTGACAGTTCACGGACAAGATTTGACCAAAAAAATATTGTACGATCCAGATCTCATCTTGTACTTCATTTTTAACATTGTACTTCATTTTTAACATGTATGGAAACCACAAATTTTGTTTTAAAATTACACGATATTGTAAATAAATTACACTATATACAAACAAAGTTAAAACGGGTGCAAAATGCACATAGCCTTGGTCCGATACGGTTCGTCTTGAAACAGGTGCACTAGCTCTATTAGGCACCGTTTGGATTTGAAGGAAAAGAAGGGAACGGATACCAATAGAAAAGGGAAAAAAAATGAAAGTGATTTCCATCCATTCTTATTTGCCGAAGCAAAGGAAAAAAATACTAAATTTTTGCTTGGATTGAGAAGGAAAAGATCAAGTGTTAATTTATTGAAAAAAAAAATGAAAAAACTACCTTTTTAAAAATTTTAAATTATTTCAATCAACAAATAAAGATCCTTCCCCTCCATATCTTTCCTTTCCCGTTTCAAAAATCAATCCAATCAACAAAAAATCAAATCCTCCAATTCCCCTCCACTCATTTCCCTCCATTCCTCAATCCAAACACTGCCTACAACATTTGCCTCAGACAGAAAACCAAACGAAACCCCCCAATAGACAAGTTACAAAACTGAAACCGAACACTGGCGCAATCAACTGCCTTACACAGGAGTATACACAAGATTCCCAGATTTACTGTTGCAAACAGAGACTCAACTAGTGAAAGATTTAAGTCTCAACAGACTAATTAAGATGATAGTGTTACACAATCCAATCCAACTTACAGATAATGAGGCACTAAGTAACACAACACAGATGTTATTCAAACCAAAAAGTCTAAATCCAATTTCCACAACCTAATAAAACAACAATTCAGATTGAGCAATGGCCTTGCATGTATATAATCTTAGAGAGACTTGGACTTTTATCCAACTGGGTGACCATCCCTAAATGGAGAAAACATAAACATAGTCCTTAATCGAGGATAAACACCAGAAAGTCTCCACTAAAATAAGTTCCTCTTCTAATCTGCTCTTGATTGACCAGCCCGAGAAGAGAGGATGATGCCAACAATAAGGCCATAAAGAGCCAAGGCTTCGGCAAAAATAAGAATAAGAATCATACCCACAAAAAGCTTCGGCTGTTGAGCATTGGCTCTGCAGTAGGCAAGTAAAAAGTAGAGTTATAATCATATGCATATGAGAAATGCTTGATAAAAATGCATCCCAAAAAATGCTAATATACAATGCCTCAAGAGATGGTGCACTAAAAGCTTCTCAACTACATAACACTCTGAAGACACACAGCGCAAAAGAAGATACAGTAAATGACGAAGCATCAGCGACGACAGTAGTAGCCTATAAGTTATTGCCAGTACTAAAATAAATTAAAAATTTATTTCTATCCCTGGACAACCATATTCAGAACCTTCTGTAACATGGATACATTACTCATTATCTCAACTAAGATGTCTATAGCAGCAATATATCATAGTTTTCGAACTACTTCAACAGTATTACCTGCATTGATTTCTGAACGGAGATTGACACTAGCTATAGAAGCTTAAATCAAGCTCTTTTAAGTCTAAACAGATCTACCTTGGTATAATGTAACACCTAGGTAATTAGTGATGTCCAGCAAAAATTCAAAGCTCAGGAAAAGAGGAAAAGATCAAAATCAACGACATACAAATAAAAAATAATTGAACGCTGCAAACCGAGAAGATTATAGTGCAATTCACAATTCAACTACACTATAGGTCTGTTTGATTGGAATGAAAATATTTTCTGGAACTTCCAATGTTTGGTTGCACAAGTGTGTGGCAAAATCTTTTCTGCTGAAAAATATTTTACACTGGCGGATGTAAAACAACTTCCTTTCTTGCCATAATGAATACATTTTACTCACGTTCTGCCACTTCATTTAATGCAAGGATAATGAGGTGTCGACTACCCTTCAAAGGCCATTATTAAGGTTACTCAATCTTTACCCATATGATTCATTGGTGATCTTGTTGGCACTTCTCCACAGCAATCTCTCTCTGAAGGCCCAAATTCTTGCTTCGTCAATCAAGGGTGACTTTTACATCTCTCAATTTGATTACCTATCTGATCATGATTTTGATATTGAGGTATAAATCTTTGAGGAAAGATACTCCTTCATTGAGGAACCAATCTGATGAATCTTAATTTCGGCAATATTATTTACCAGCAAATTGGAATTTTTGAATAATTTGTTATTGTTTCATGAGACTTCCCCATTGATGATAATTTTCTTTTACTATGGGGAATGGGTAGGGATGGTGCCGGGGCTGGCAAGAAGGAAGTGGTGGCAATGGTGGTGATGGTAAATACTGGGAGGAGGCTTTTTGCAGCTGTGGTGACAATGCGGGGAAAGAACATGGATGGTAGGCGGCTTTGCTGGTGGTGGGTATGACAGAGCAAACGGTATGCTAGGATGCAAGGTGTTGTTATGGTGGGTTGGACATTTGGGATCTAACTGGCTTCAATTTCTAGGAGACCAAATTAGTCAACCAAACACCGAAAAATGAATAGGAAAACATTTATTTTCTTTGAAAAAATTTTCTTTGGAAAATATTTTTGACCGGAAAATATCTTACACCCAATCAAACAGACCCAAAATTACTGAGAAAATCGAGTAAGAAAAAAAATCTCGCATGATAAAGAGGTAGATTTACTACCAGTAATTGATAACCAAGCTAGAATAGATACTCATGAAACAAGCTAAGAATTCAACTAAGCACGATCACAATGTACGAACAATCCAAAAACCCAGGCTAGTTACTTAATAATCATGCAGAGAAAAGTCAGGGAAGGGAAGGAAAGAGTAAAGTAATACCTGACGCCGGCATCACCGACGATTCCGATAGCCATACCAGCAGAAAGACCAGCGAGGCCACAAGCAAGACCAGAAGAAAGGTGAGCGTAACCATCGAAGAGATAGTAAGCTTTAGTCTTAGGGTTGATTCCGGTACTTATAATCACGGCAATAATCAATCCGTAGATACCAAGCACACCAGCCATGACCACCGGAACTATAGACTTCATCACCAGCTCCGGCCTCATCACTCCCATCGACGCCACTCCAACGCCACTCTTGGCCGTCCCATAAGCTGCTCCCATACCTACCAAATCCGAAAATTCAAACAATTAATATCGAATCCTAATTCTAATCCCCAGTTGATTTAAGAGGGCAAGAAAAGAAAAGAGAGCATATTGGTACATGAAAAGACTAGGGCAGCAGCAGCGCCGAGAAAGCCAAAGAAGGGTGCGGTCTCATCGCCACTGAAAGTCGAAGACATTTTCTTGGGATTAGATCTGGTAGGAGGGTCCAAGGAGGATGAGAGATTGGATCTGGGGGTCTTTCCAGCGACGTAGGCTAATCTGGCTTGATATGTTCAACGCTGTTCCTGATGTTGTCTCAATCTCACCATCACGGCCCCTTCGCTCCTTCCTGTTAAGCGCCTAGCTAGGAAATTTGTGAAATACAGTAGTTAGACGTATATAATAATTTGGGAAGAGGCAAAATTTGTGAAATACAGTAATAAAACGTATATATAATTTGGGTTTACGGGGAAAAGGGAAGAAATTCTGTCTTGTGTTTTCGTAAACAAAAAAAAAATGAATTACCATATTTAGCTTTTATGTGCACTCCGTTTTGTTTTGGATTCTGCATCATAATTGCCTCTCTTGAACAATTTATTACACTAAAATCTCTATAAATCAATATCCGATAAATTAATAACCTCTATTAAATAATAACTTTTTAATGATCCCAACTTGAATTAATGGGCTAAATTAATAAGTTTTATAAAATAATAAAATAAATTTTTTTTGTGAAAAACCTTACATAACTTTCTAGTCTTATTTATATAATAAATTAATAATTCACTAAAATATGAGTGTCTTATTTTTTTTTTAATCTAAATCTACCTGACTCCCATCCTTAATTCTTCCTGTTGCATTACTTGAATTCTCGTATTGTAATAAGAAATTATACATGCAAATCAAGTACATATTAGACTTTTAACCTCCTTTTATTAATAGAGTAATTTATATTTTTATAAAATAAAATAAAAATTTAAAATTAAATGAGTGTTTCTTTAAATTATAAGTACACTCAGTAAATTAATAAATTACTAATTTATCAATTAATTAATATCTCTTTAAATTAATAAATTTTATATGATTCAAAATTATTAATTTATAGAGAATTTACCTGACGTATTTATAGATGCCCTTTCGAACACAATAAAAGCTTTTGAAAGCTATATGACTTTACACACAATAATGAGATAATCCTTTGAAAGCTAGGATGTGGTTGATTTACTTGTGCAGAAAGGAACTTCGGCTCTAGTAGGCAGGGAACACAACCATTTAAACGACAGAAAAATGCAGATCCTATTTCAGGAAATAAAATGAATTACCCCAAAATGCAATACTGGGCAAATACCAAGGGCTTACAAGACAATAGACAAAGAGAGTATACGCCGGAATCACATTTGGAGATTAAAGATAATATAGCGAAACGTTTAGGTCCTCAAATAGCTAATGTAGATAATACTAGATAGTAGCGTTACACAATTCAATCCAGTTTTGACAAGGTGCAGCACCAAACAACAGTACAGAGGCTTTATTCAAGAAAGAATTTTAAACCCAAAATCTACATGCGAAGACCACAACAATTCTTGAGGTTGAGCAATGGATTTGCACGTATAAAAGCTTTTAGAGCAAAAGTAACTCCCGCAACAGGATAACCACCTCTAACCCGAGAACGTAATATAGTCCTTTATCAATTACTAGCACCACAATGTGTCAGCTAACTATAATCCAGTTCTAATCTGCTCTTGATTGACCAGCTCGAGAAGAGAGGATGATGCCAACAATCAGACCGTAGAGAGCCAGGGCTTCAGCAAAAATAAGGATGAGAATCATACCCACGAAAAGCTTAGGTTGTTGCGCATTGGCTCTGCAAAAGACAAGAAGAAATCAGAATCATAAAGATCTCTCCAGCGCAGAACCACGACGGTTAAAGCTAATGGCAGCCATATAACTGCATTTATAAGAGCCTAAACAGGTAGAGATTTCAATCCATCTCACAGGAACAGTACTCCAATAATGAACACAAAAAACAGGTTTCAGTACAGCATAAATAGGAACTTTCCCTTGTCCATACTGAGCAACATGACAAAAAGGGCAAACAATGAAATCAGCAAAAGCTTAATGCAAAAGGAGTAACATAACAAACCTTGTCCTAGAATGCTAGACCCCTTTGCAAGATCAACTATAAAACCTGATGGGATATTGTAAGATTGAGTTTTTATACCCAACTTAGTTATATAAAGCTACCTCTTCTCCTCCTGCCAAAGGTTATCATATTTTACAAACAACTCCAACTTATACTACCTTAAGTTTTTCGGTAGACACATCCACCAGGTGCATTTGATTGAACATTTATATGTTCCCAAAAAGTGAATATTCAATCACACAGATTGTACTAAGATGATTCCCCAAGAATCACAGAAGTAGTACAGATGTAACTCCGTATTATGAAAACAACATTAACACATATATCTCAGATAGAGCTTTAATTTCTTCAAACCACACATTTTAAGAACCAAAGGAATAAACGCAAAGAAAAGTTAAGCATAATAACATGAAAATGCCAAAGCAGCACGTATACTGAATAGATCAATTTCAGAAGTAATTTAAGTACCAAACCCTCATAAGCTAAATTCCAATCAAATCAAATTTTAACTCACACAGATGCCGCATAAAAAAAAAAAAAAAATTTCTTACAATGTAAAAATTAGTAAGTTACATACACTGGATATTCAAACCCTAGGCAAAAGCTTTTATCAAGTTGTTTGTCAAGCCACTATTCTATGGGCCAGATATTAGGAGAGTTAACCATTCACTTTAGCATATATTACACTTAAATTGGAAATAAACAATATTATACATAATAAGCACGCAAATAAAGAACTACCACATAATCAAGCTAGAGAAAATATTCATTCAAAAATTGCGGAAGAAAGAAACGTTCCTGAACTATCATCAGAATTCAGAACGCACAATCAAACACATCTTTTTGGCCCTAAGATCAGATGCAAAATATTAAGTAAGTAAAACAAAGTCTTGGCAAATTAGTCAAGGAGAGGGTAAATATACCTAACACCGGCATCACCAACAATTCCAATTGCCATACCAGCAGAAAGGCCAGCGAGGCCACAAGCAAGACCAGAAGAGAGATGAGCATAACCATCAAAGAGATAGTAAGCCTTGGTCTTAGGGTTGATGCCCGTGCTAATAATCACAGCAATAATAAGCCCGTAAATACCAAGCACACCAGCCATGACCACGGGAACAATGGACTTCATCACCAGCTCCGGCCTCATCACACCCATCGACGCCACCCTACTCCACTCTTCGCCGTCCCATACGCCGCTCCCATACCTACCAAGCCATTAAAAAACACACACACACAAAAAAAAAGATGAACAAGGAAACCAAAATATCACCGAAACTTAGCAATTGTAAGCCTAGATCTGGACGAGAAGAGGAATGTCTTAGTATAAAAAAAAGTAGGCAGTGTTTGTTTACAGGAGAAGACTAAAGCAGCGGCAGCCCCCAGGAAGCCGAAGAACGGTGCCGTTTCATCGCCGCTGAAGGTCGAAGACATGTTTTCGGAGTGGATTGGATCTAATCAGAGAGGAAGAGACAGAGAGAAGAGTAGAAAAAGAAGGTTGGATCTGAGATGGAGATTTTTTTCCCCTTTTTTTTTTTTTTTTTTGGTTCACGGCTCCTGCGGGCAGGAGAGTCGTAGACCTGTTTGGTTTCGAAGCTGCCTCTATTAGGGGTGTGCATCGAATTCGAATTCGGTAATTCGGAAGTTTGAATTCGGAATTTTTCGAAATTTTGGTATCTGATAATTCGACCGAATTCGATTTCGAATTCACCACTTCCGAATTCGAATTCGTACCGAATTCAATTCGGAATTCGGTAAATTCCGATTTCACACGATTTCACGAATTCGAAAAAATTTATATAATTATTATAATATTATTATAAAATTTATAATATTATATAATATTATATAAATTTTATAAATTTTATATTATATTATATTATATAAATTTTATATAATATTATATAGTATAAATTTTATATTACATGTATAAAAATATATTTATATATTAAAAACGAATTTGAAATCGAAATCGGAAATTCCGATTTGAAAAACTCCATTATCGAATTCGAACCAAATTCGAAATATATGAATTCGGAAAATCCGAATTCGATTCCGATTTCCGATTTACCGATTTCGAAAATTTCGAATTCAATTCGAATTCGGTCGGTAAATCGGAATTTTTCGATTTTGCACACCCCTAGTCTCTATCTCAGGGGGTCCCTTCCCCTCCTTTGCTCAGTTTATTTTAAAGGGGATAATTTCACAAACCTCCCCTGAGGTTTCTGACACTTGCACTGAGACCCCTCCAGGTTTTAAAAATTACACCTAGCTCCCTTGCTTTTCATATTTTGGTAACAATTCAGTCCAATTAGCAATCCAATATTCCTGTCATGACAGAGTTGATAATTATATTCCATGAATGCCCTCAATGGAACTTATTAGTACAAGATTGGTAGTTGATAACAAGGTAGACATGATTATCAAAGTTGAAGGGGTATAAATGTAATTTAGGAAAAGTTCTTTTGTTACACCAAGCACTCTTCAGTAGGCAACGGTCTGATGCACAGGAATAGGCAACGGTCTGATGCAATCTTCCAACGGCCAAAAATTTGGAAAAGATTGTGCATATAAACATCCTCAATAGCAGATTCCATGGCCTCTTCAAGCCAAATTTTTTCATGCAAATTTGGAAAGCACATTTTATCCTCAAGAGCCAAAAGACTATGAGTAGCAGTCACAGAAGGCTAAGCTGAAAACATTTAGCAGATTCCATGGCCTCTTCAAGCCAACCAACAGAATTTTGGAATTCACCAACAACTTTCAGTATTAAGAATAGATATTGCTACTGCAATCGCAGGGCCACAGTGAAGATATCAGAGAGCGAAAAGAATCCAGACAAATTGTATTTCTGCTGCTCAAAATGCAGATATTTCAAATGGTATGATGGGGAGAGAAGAAGAAGAAGTTAATAGCAGAAGAAGCAACCAAGACACAAACAGGGAAAGGATATTAGCAGAGCTAGAGTGCTTGGCATTTCAGAAAGGCAATCTGAACCTAATGTGGAATTGCAACGACAATTGCCAGCTCAAAGTGTCTTAGGAAACGTGCTGCTCATCACCAATATGCTACTGTTAGCTATATATATTTTCATTCAAATAGTAAAATCAATCAGCTCCTGAATTCATGTAAATCTGCTGCTGCAACAATGTAGCAGTTGTAGTATGCCTTTTGTGGTGAAAGCCAAATAAAAGTTATCCAGCTATGTCAGTTAGAATGCTACATAAACTAATGTAAAATCCATGTATGCAGTAGTTTACAGTCATTGTATGTGAAAGGGAATAGCACCAGTATGCTAATTTGATCAATAGCAACTGAACAATAGCAGCAGTTACATTACACATGCTAAAATGCAACTTTTCTGGCCAACAGAACATATAACATTTCCATCAATGCAATCCAGAATTACAAAACACCATCTACCAAGACAGTTTCTAGAATAGATGGTGAGGATTGCACCACTAATAGTGTAAAAGAGTGTGAGCTCCCATTAACAAAATATTTCAGCAGTCCTAAATTCTGGTACATTTCCAAATAGCAGCACCGAATTCAAAAGAAGCTAAACTAATCATTACATGCTAACTAGTCTGAACTGGCAACTCAAAACCAATTACTGAAAGTGCTGGTACTGCTAATGCTATTGGAGTTCATATTTGGTGGTGCATTCATGCTGACAGATGTAGCATTTTCAGCTATGTCAGAAGTCGAATGAACTGGAACCTGAGGATTGGAGTACATTCTAGTACTTTTGGTCCTACCAGCACCTCTGACTGTTGAAGTAGAAGGATTGTTTGAAGCAGGCCTTCCTCTCTGTAAACATAATAGGATGAAAATCAAGTTCAAATGAGCAAAAATTAGATCACAGAACTTGTTATTCTCTTACACAAGCTATAATATACAAGTTATTACCTTTCTGTTAGAGCCTGCAGCAGTAGTTTGACAATTATTCTGCACGTTAACACCTCCATTATGACCAGTAGGACTATGATTGCTCCCTTGACTGGAGTGAACTATAGGTACTGCTCCTTCTGCATAATCCTGTGAAATGAGAGCACTTGTGAGTCCCTGGAAACCTTTTCACATATATAATTGTAATAGATAAGAAATGAAACATAAAACTGGCAGCAGAATACCCAAAGTACAGCTCCTGATAAGCCTGTGCTGGCCATTCCTCTGCCTGGCCTACCTCTCCTATTTGTCATCTGTGATAACAACTTCAAATGAGTAGCACATAACAAAAATCAATGTAAGATGATGCAATTCAGTGATAAAATGAGAAACTACCAGTTCAGCTGTGGTTTTGTTTGCAGTCGTTCTGTGCACAGGTTGTCCTTTGCAGGTCCTCTTATTATGACCAAAAGCTCCACAATTGCCACACTTGAGAGTGCTGCTCCTTTTTGGTTGTGAAGAAGCTCCCTCATCAGCTTCCCTTCTTCGATTTACTCTTGGTCTACCAGGAGCTCTTCGCAAAGGAGGTGGCAACACAGTTTTTGGGAGTAAATCAGGCATCACAGGCCACCTTTTCACATCAGGAATAGGATGAATCATTTCTGAGTATGCCTTCAAATACATGTCCCTCGTGAACCAGGCTTCACAGTAATGTTCCAATTTTTCTCTCCTGTAAATAATTCCCAATGCTGCATGTTTACATGGAATTCCAGATATCTGAAAAGCACCACAATCACAGATTCTTTTGCTGAGATTAACTACGTAGCTTCTGTCACCATCACCAATCTCGAATGTATCTTCACTAGCCATATGTATCTCACATTTTCTTGATGCTTGGCTAATCTGTGTGAGTTTCTCAGCAATCTTGGGAGTGATATTAGCAGTCAAAGTGCAACCTTTCTGGTACTTCTTGTGCAACTTTTTCATGAACTTTCTCCTCAAACCATCCACTAATGTCAGTATAGGCTTTCCTCTAAGATCACCAACCCAATTATTAAAGGATTCAGTGAAATTATTTGTTACATGATCACACTTAAGTTCAGATGAGAAGACATGCCTACACCAGGAACTTCTTGGAATTTTGTCCAGATATCTCCAAGCAGCAATGTTAATATCTTTAATACTTGCCATTGCTTCATTATAGCCAACAACATCATAACTTTTTGCTGCCTTCCAAAAGAAACTTCAAGTAATATTCCTGGAAATTGAGACTTGAAATTACTACATATATGCCTACAACAATGCCTACCAGTTGCATCAGGAAATATCTCCTCATAAGCAAGATTCAGTCCCTTCTGCCTATCACTCATGAAAGTTAAAGGGATGTTGTTGTCTAATGGTCCAAAGAACTCTTGAAAGTAATAGAAGAACCACCTCCAAGTATCCTTGTTCTCGCATTCAGTTACAGCAAATGCTATTGAAAAAATGCTGTTGTTTGCATCCAAAGCAACCGCTGTGAGAAGCACACCTCCAAATGGACCCTTCAAGAAACATCCATCAAATCCCACAAAAGGTCTACAACCTTCTAGGAATCCCAGCTTTTGAGCTCTAAAGCTAATGAATATTCTCAGAAATTTAGGCTCTATTAACAGATTTGGCCTATCATAATGTATTTTACAAATCTATTGGGATTATTGTTCCTTAATAGTTCAGCATATGAGGGGAGTTTAGAATAAGATTCAGCATGTGTGCCTTCTATTTCATTAAGTGCTTTGTTCTTAGCTCTGAAAATCTGCATTTTACTTGGCTTCACACCATACTTTCTCAACTCTGCCTCTACACCTTTGCTGGTCATATTAGGATGATCTCTCATGACACCAACCAGCTTCTTGGCCATCCAATCAGAAGTGGCTTCAGCACAGTGTTTATCCATCACACAAGTGTGCTGTGATTGGTAACTTTTAATCTGAAAAGTTATATTATCAGCCACTGGTGATGCATGTATTCTCCACTGGCATCCCTCAGCATTGCATATAGCAGTCACTCTCGATCTCTCATTTTTCAATCTCAGAAGTGGAAAACCTTTTTGAATAACATAATCTTTTAAGACAGCTCTAAATGCATCCACATTGGTGAATAATTGACCCTTCTCAAATTCTATGTCATCTTTAAGATTGTAAATCCACATCTTTATCTTATTAACTGTCTCCTAGAATTATCCCCTTCCTCACTTTCAGAATCAGGCACCACAATTTCCATTTCATTGTCTTCAAAATCAGAAAAATTAGTATCATTTTCTTCACTATCATCATTTGAGACCCTATCCAGAACTAATTCATCCTCATTGTCACTATACGGATTGTGTCTCCATGAAGAATCAGAGCTAGAATCTCCATACTGATCATCTGAGATATCAACATCTATAGCTACTGTCTTCTTATTCTGTTTACTAATAACCAGAGTATCTTGCATGTTCACAGTAGTCGGATTTACTAAGTTATTCTCTTCATCAACAGGGATAATTTCCATATCAGAGACATGCAAGTTAATCACTGGCTTAGATTGATGTATTTTGAACATCTCACTAACAGAATAATCATCATTAACATCCATCGTGCAATTTTTTTCAGGAATTTCACATCTCATCTGCATAATCATGTTAACATTCCCACTTATCTTGCTCAGTGCCTTTTCAGTTACATCAAACAACAAGTTAATGTACGAGTAGCCACTTGGATCAACATTTGGAATCCTGATTTTGTTTGCATTACAGTGAACAACAATGTCATATGCAGCAGCAATACTCCCCATCCTACATTTTCAGATTTGGATGCAAAGTAGTGATTAAATAAAAGTGCATGCTTCCTGCCTTTACATTCTTACATAAACACATATAATTTCCAGAAACACATCAGCATACATCTCACTACATATCAACGTACTTCAGCATTACAGAAACTACTGATCAAGCAAAACAGTCAATATTTGCTAATACATTCATGCACATTTTTAATAGAAGTTAATGAAATTTCCAGAAAACATCTTCCATGCATCCATCGTGCATGAAATTTCAAGAAACATCTTTACTTACAGTACTACATGAAGCAACAAACATCTTTAGTTTCTTGACACATCTACTGATCAAGATTAATACCTTAACAGATAACATGCACTTTTTTAACAAACTGATTCATCACAGCGGAAGAGATTATAGTACTGCATATCTGAAAATGAAAATTGGTACCTCAATTTCTGCTTCTAAGAAGCTTAACTTCCACCAGATGAAGACAGCTTCACACCAGTTCCATTGCCTTCTTCATTGTCCCGTTTCTTAGCATTTAGATATAAGACATGTTATCTGCCAAATTGGCGCCAAATTATAAGACATGTTATATAAGACATGTTCAATCAGCCTAGTCACATCACTTATCATCAGAAATTGGCGCCAAATTACATCTTCTATTGGCGCCTAGGAGTAATCATTTTTTAATCACCTTCATTACACATTAAATTTCTGTTATTCTGGTTAAACATAATTAGAAATCTCAAAATGCATTTGTGTAAGTAGTTAACGTCAGTGCAAATGTATCCTCTGAGGACAAATAGGTGATTTCAGTGCTCTGCATGTCAGATTTGGGCCCCAATAATCTGCCAGGGGAGCTAGGTGTAATTTTTAAAACCTGGAGGGGTCTCAGTGCAAGTGTCAGAAACCTCAGGGGAGGTTTGTGAAATTATCCCTATTTTAAAATACTACCAATCAATTATGAATCAATCAATTATGATCGGGAGTGGACCGGAAGAATGGTGCAAATGTGATTACGAATGAGAAGACGCTCAATTTAGATGTCATTGGCAAGTGATTACTGTGTATAACTCTGTTTTAGGGATCATTCTGATATAACTAAAAAATTGGAGCCTGAAATTAAAAAAAATGGAATTTAGATAAAATTTTAATTTATAAAATTCATATAGTTACATATGTTTGATAATAAGCTGCATACTAGGGGCATGTTTTATTAAAATAAAATTGGAGTGTGAATATTTTTTTTTAAGAAAAAAAAGAGGGAATCTAAGTGGCATATTATTATTATTAAGATTAATGACAATACTACTTTTATGTTTTATTTGATAATTAAACACACTTTATTATTGATTGTTAGGTTAAAATACACGGAGATTGTACACTGACATTATATACACATTGAATATTATACATTAATATAGAAAAACTTTATTAAGGGTGTAATGATCACAAAGTAATATTTGTAACCCACCACCAACACCACCAACGCCCCTTTTTTCTAGTCTTTTCAGAAGACTAAAAGGCAGAAGGGAGCGAGACTAAAGCCCAAGAAAAGCATATCCTGATTATATTCCAAAAGAAAAACACTACACTGAAATCGATTTGCTTTCAACTTGTACATACATGCAAATAAACATTTATCAGAAAGGATTAGCAGAAAAAACACAATAACATGCAGGACACAAAAAGTTGTTCTGGGCATTATGCTATCAATTGGGATTAAGTGTCTCCACAATCGTCAACTCACACCATTATACACGATTATGCTCTACGATCTAGGCGCTAACACATGCATCACACTAGTACATCCGTTCTATGCACTAAAACAAGAAGTGTATTAAAAAAAAAAAAAAACACTTTTAACCCAGCTCCTGAAAACATGCAAAAAGTAGATGTTTCAAACTTGTTCTTTTGAGTTCATAAGAGTTGTTATTTCAGTTTGGTTTACACACTTCATTTGCTAGTGCTTACACTATAAAGTAAAATTATGGCTAACAATTGTAGAAGCCCCCCCCCCCCCAAAACCTCCTGCGGGTTAAATTTTGTAATTGCTTTATCATTAGGAAGAGCCAAAAGCTGCTTGCTAAAAATGGCAGAATCAAGGCAACAGACGCACAGCAACACCAGCAAAGAGTACACTCTTTTCAGTCTCATCACCAACTAATTCTTGATATTGAGCTCGTTTCACTCCTCGGCCCATTAAGCAGTGGAACACGCGGTTGTACAAATACCATTTGAAATACATAGCAAATCTAGGAAAATGCCCAGTGAATCAACAGAAAAGAACATTCAAACTTACCAAAAAGATCCATATCTAACACCAAATTACAATTTAATGACAATTTGAAACGAAAAAAAATTCTCAATTCCAATTTGCACGGTGGATCATCCTGTCGAATTAAGCTTAAGTTCACCACTATTTTTTGAAGCAAATTCTCCACAATGCAAAAGCATATAACCTAGTACAAAAGCAACAACAGAGATCTGAGCAATGTTTTCTGGTGCAACCACGATCCAATAAATGCTTATCACACAATGGTACATAAAAATTTTAGGAAATTGATATTTGCACTCCCATTTTAGCCTCTTGCAGTCCAATCCACTCAGTAAATAATATGCCTCCAAGGAGTGCAAGAGGCTTAACTTGGGATGCAAATATCACTTTCCAAATTTTGATGTACGAAATAAACATTAGGTTGCTGGATTATACATCCAAGGCATTCACCAAGAGCTAAAAGCAAAACAGTTCCTTCAGAATTTGTCAAGTATTTAATTCTGAGGGACCAACCTAATTTATCCTCACCTCTTAAAAGGATTTGGTAAACCATTTCGCCAACAATACACCTCACAAAGTCTTCAAGTACATAGTTGAATAGGTTGATTCTGAAAACAGAGAGAGAAAGCAAACTAATTGGAGGGATGAGGAAAGGAAGAGGAGCAATCCATGAATGTCAAAGAAAAGCAATCCATGTGTCGGGAACAGGTAAACTTTGGGGTAAAGAATTTTTAATAAATAAACATCATTTTTCCCTTTCCAAAGTATGGGACTAAACTATATCATGAACAATTCAGCACAGATAGTAAACACACTTGGATACATATAATCACTCTGATTCCACCCTCAAGAACAAAGTACTAAGAAAATTCCTAAATGTATTCCAGGAAAAGAACAAAAAACAGTGTGTGTAATACGCTTGGGATGGACCAGATTTTACCCAAAAATTATTGGAGAAAAATCTGAACAAGAACCAAAGTGCTCAATGCAAAAGGTTAAAAAGCCACGGCCTGCTTTATCTTTATCTGCAAACAAGAATAAAATGTGCAAGTGAATAACAGGACAATAACAGAAGGGAGAGTGTGAAAATTAGTACCATTGAAGCGCAAGACTCCAATCAGCATCTCCATCATGTATCGTCATCAGCAGATCTTTACAATGCATTTGGGTTAAATTATTGAGACAAAAGAAGCACCTTACCTATTCACTGTATTCCCATGCCTATATAAACATTAAGTCGCCTCTTAAAGTAACCTACCCAAATGCCACTGTGTCCGATCGTCATCTTCAGAACTTGGTGAACGGGTCTTACAACACAACATGGTCAAACTTGTTTCTTAACTCGCCATTCATATGGATGGCCAGCAGCTCCAAGTAAAAGAAGAAGCATGAAGCTGTACTCCTTAAAAACAACACAACACCCAAATGAAAAGTTATATTTGATCATATAATTGAAAATTAAAGCAATAATTCCATTTCTGAAATCTTTGTAGAACCAGAAAATATAATAAAGCAAGAGAGCATAAATGCCTTGGAATAAGTACGGCAAATGTCTGTACTCCTGTAGCCATTAAAACAATTCTGAGCTGTACATATGTCAAAATTAGGAAAACATGTCATTTCTCATCTACAAGGATCCCTGAATGGAAAAATTAGGGGTCTTCACTTTCTAACCTAAAAGATACAACTGATGAATTATGATGAACAATCCTAAATGTATTCTGTTCTTGTGTCTCAGAAGAGACTGATGCCTATCAGGTGGGATTTAAATCCATAACATTTCATATAGCACCCATGTTCAAATTTTCACCACAGGAGGCCTTTGCCATCCTGTAATGTAATTTCCTGTCACATTTTGGGACATATTGCATTAAACCTGACATTTTTTTGAAGAAACAATAGTAGGATTTGGTCGCCCCAACATAACTGTGTAGATTGGAACACAGTCACAAGAACTATTAGAGTTCCATCCTGAGCTGCATCCTTTAATTTACCAAAAGCTTGTTGGGTAGCTTGGATAAAGAAGTCAAGGCAAATCCAAAGGACGCCTCATTCTCACATGCAGGTGGAAGCCGAGGAAAGATCCATAAGGGAACAATCTTCTGCTTCCCCAACCATCAGATAAGCCACCAAAAAACTATGACCAGCCATTCCAGACAATCATCATGATTTCACAGCTGGCTTCATCGTCATGTGTCTTTCAATCAATTTGTCCACAAATGCACGAATCTGCATCGGAGAATGCAAAGAAACTTGCAAAATTAAACAGAAATTACAGAAGTAACTATTATTTGACCAAATGTCTGAAAGCAACACATGCAACAAAATGGAGAGATGAAGAATTAATTAGCTAACCACTTGAGAAAACAAAAGCAAGAATAGAGAAAGTTGACTAGAAGAAAAAGAAATAATGCTAACTGTTTGGACAGAGACAGGCAGGCAAACCCCAAACCTGAGTAATCATAAGCTAGTAATGAGACAAGAAGAATCTCCTCATGCTGGTTCAGTTTCACTTCTTTTGGACAAAGTTCATGGAGGACAGACACTTAAGAATCAAAAAGTCCACCATAATTTCATATCTCATTAAACAAATTTCCTAGAAAGCCAACCACCACCAAGACAGGAAAAAAAAACCCAGCCCAAAGAAAAAGAAAAAACTGTGCAAAGAGGCTTTCCTGTTATAGCAACAAGCTGTGTATTAACACCAGGATTTTCAAGCCTTCAAGAGAGGACATTTTACAAAAATTGTAGAAACATTCAAACCCAAGCATCCATTTGCAGTTTACAGCATGATAATGCATCGACTCTGGAAGCAATCTAATGTTGACAAAACAGATCTACAAGATATTTCACAAATGAATAAATGAAGCTTTACCTTGTTTTTCCGTTTAAAATCAAGAAATTCGGAAACAGACATTGCTTTCTCAGCATCAGTGGCTTGTTCCATTACCTGAAATTTGCTCAAACAATGTTAAATTCATAGCATAAACTATCAGAGAAGGAAATTTAAAACCACTTAGTGAAAAGGCAGCACGAAGACTGAAACTTTCTGTTAATTTTTCCATATCTGCTGCATAACAGAAATGACTCAATATCCAAACAAGAAGAAATCACAGAGCAAAGCAGCACTTTGCTACTTACCGTTAAGGTGATTGTAGAAAAAAGTGAGAACTAAAAGTAAAAAGAGGAGGAATATCAACCTTAGTAGCAGTTTTCTTCATTATTGTCTTGTAACCATCTCTGTCAAGTTTCCTTGCTTTATAGAGAGGCATGAGTAATGAAGCGACATATTCCACAACAGCCTGTTTGATACGCTCAGCTCCTCTAAGTTGATTTTCACCAATTCCTTATTAACGGTAACTTGTGAAACTGAGCTCTCATTTGCTGGGCCATCTGGCTTCTTAGCAGGTAACTTTAATGTTGAATCCTCCTCATCAGTTAAGTGCATTGTCTGATGGTAGAAATCAGAATTAGCAGCAGCTGCCTGACATTGCCATCTCTCAATGTCATTGTAATCTTTTGTTCCAACACTACCAGCACTATCAACCCAAGCTTTGGTGAATAGGCTGTTGTCAACAGCCACACTTTCCCCTGAGTGCTCTCTAAAGTTCAACTGGCAGCCAATCTCATTTGACTGGCTATGCTGTGAATGATTATCAACAGACATTCTTGAGGGATCAAGGTTGACACCAGTAGCAGAGAAATCGACAGACCAGTCCCTGACTCTGCAGTTCCTGGAATCTATTTCTGATAGACAGTCTTGTTTCCCAAATGCACCAGCAGACCAATTCCTTCTGATATCAGCGTCATCCATACGTGAGTACTGTTCCCGTCTAGCAAATTTGTGAAAAGAAGGTATCTTGGGAAGATGCAAAGACAAGCCACTCTTGGCACCAGAAGAAGCATATGCCTGAGATAGGGAATAATCATTCAGTCACTAAAAAATTTCTCAAGATGCCTATAAGAGTAGTTAATGAGCATGGGAAGGCACCCAATCTTAAGAGCCAATTGACCCTCCAAGCCCAGCCATCGAAAAAAGAAGGGAAGGGTTGGGGCAGGAAAAGATAAGAAGTCCCAACAACGAATACACTTTTCAAAATATGGCAAGTCAACCAAATCAATCAAGGTGCAGCAAAGTTCAAAAACACCCAAAAGTCAGGTATGAAGAATTTGCAAAGTCAAAAGTCAAAAGCTTTAAACTGCAACAAAAAAGGGAGTCCAATAAAGTCAAAAAAGGAAACCCTCATGACATACGTGGTTATCAAAAGATACCATTTAATCAACAGACCACACCAGATTGGAAAGCAAGGCACAAGAAAATAAGCAATGTGGCAATGCCCTAGATAAATGCACAGCAATTACAGATGAGGCAAAGCCAAATATAAGTTAAACACGGGCGATAGTCAAATGTTTAGCGCCCTGGCTGACTCAGTGCCAGCAGCTGCAGTATGACCGCCCTGGGGGAAGGGGGCAAGTGTTGTTTGGATATTAACCATAAAAGGGCAGGTAATAAATTGACTTATTGATTCCTAAATAACTTGCGTTCAGTGATGGCAACATGCCAAAGCTTTTAAATGCTACTTCACCTGCAGGCCAACATCATGTTCATGTTCATTGATTCGTAAAATGCTCAAGTATTTATAACAGTTTCAGTATTGATGAAAACAAAAATAAAAGTTTAGCCATATAAAGTACATTCATACAAAAAGTGGAGGATCTTTGTTATTAATCAGTCCATTCCCAGCTAGCCAGCATCTAGAAACCATGGCCCAAAAAATTTTCCTTTACAATGTATCAAATGCACAACTTGATTAGTGGAAATTTCTATCATCCTTTCCAAACAAATGCTCCATCCCCTTCAACTCCAAAAACAAAAGAGATATGCAAATAAAAAGCAGCATTTTTTATTAGGAACAAACAAACCTTGGCAGCAGCAAGAGCCGCAGCAAGGGATGCTTCTTTTGCAGCAAATGCAGCTTTTTCCTCTTTTTCCTTAGTTTCCTCTCCTGTTGCATTTTGCCTTTCCACTGAACCTTCAGAACTTGATGGTTTAGCTTCAACTGTTGGTCTTATAACATTAGAACTTGAGGCTAAATGATTCCTAGAAGACGAAACTTTTGGACTTCCTCTGTTCTCTGGAGCAATGTGATTTGTCCGCAAAGGTGGTTTCCCCAGAGCTTGAGATGATCTATTCTTAAAAGAATCAACACCACTTGGCTGCCTCAATTTTGAGGCCTTCTTTTTGCGGAATATTTCAATCCACACACGAACAAGCTGGCTTGCTATAGCACGAATATCACGGCTGGTGTGTACACATACTTTTTCTTTTACAGTCTTCCCAATTCCTAAAAGACAATGAGAGATAGCATGGTGAATAAATCTTTAAGATTTGCAAATTGGAATTTAAGCCTAGGATCCGCATGGAAATTAACTTGGGAAAGAAAGGGACAAGGCATGCATCTGACAAGAACAACTTCATGCCATGAAATACCTAATCAACCTTTTGAACATGGAAATATTTTTCTTTCAGCCTTTCCTGAGACTTTAACTTCTAATATGTGACAAATATTCAGCCTTTCCCGAGACTTTAACTTCTAATCATGATACAGGTATAAATCATTTTTCTTTAACTGTAAGAGAGAGACCAGTTACTGAAGGAATTCAACTACTGGAGCTTCAACCAATAAAATGCTAAGAGAATCAACAGGGATAGAACTACAGCATGATCTTAAAACCCATCTTCCCTATAAAATAGACCTTTATGTGATTATTAGAGAATCAAAAAGAAAGAAGGGTACTTTGTTTTCACAGGGAGAGATTTGTATTTTCAAAAAATCAATGAATAACAAAGAAACTTCCAATCACCTGAAAGTCGAACTGCAAGCAAATCAGTCGAAACAAGTACAAGTAGACGGACACAATGACGCAATAGCTGAGTGCCATCCTTCCCCATGGAGTCCTGTTTGTAAGAATCAGAAGTCAAACCACCAAAAAATAAGTAGACACATGACATTCATAACATAAAGTTGACATCAATGATCAATGATCAATGACACAAGGAAACATTCCAGTAAAACATACCAGCATCCATGAGTTAAGCATGCTTAGGCCATCTTTGTTTCCAGCAAAGGATTTCAAGACTTGAACGGGAAGCTTCAGCAACTGCTTTGCCACATGCAATCTTCCTGCAGTAGTTTTTGCACTGTAAAATAAATCCTGTAGCAAACTCTTCTTGGTCAATATTTGAGTCTGATCCAAAGAATAAGCCTCAAGTCTGTTCATGATGTCCCTAATTTCACTC